GGTTAAGTGCCATCACARATTTTTGGCTCAGGAAATAAAAAACTGCTCTAGTCACATTTGACATCTACAGCAGAATGTGCTGATACTCCCTGCCAAAGATGAGCTCCAGCATCTTCCAAAAGATGGATTATGTGTGGCGCTGTTAAAATACATACTGCTGGTTAAACGCATTGCATTTGATTTGGGTTAAACCTGTTGTATTTGGCTTGGCTTCTGYTCCTGTATTTCCATCTGAATTTTAATAGCCATAACATACAGCTGGATTTCAGTGAATGCCACATCACCAGAGAGGAAGTAGTAAGGTTCGGATGATGGGGTTAGCATTCCCAAGGTCCCTCTAACTGCTGGAGAAGCCACAGTCATTTGTATCTCAGGTTTTCCATCTATGGAATGGGAATAGTGATGATATCCTGTAAGAAAACATGTAACCTATATGACAGGTGACATATAGTTGCATAAAGTATGGTAATCATTGCATCTGAACATATTTGCTGGTCTAAACAGTCTTTTTAGACCTCTTCAGTAAGTGGTGGTGAAGATGTGGCTTTCAAAAAAATAGTTTATACTAAAATTGGTTGTGAAAATGTTTCCCAGGCTAGTTTATAATCTCTACAGCATAGTGACATGGGGAAATGCTTAAGCTGTAGGAAGGAATGTGTGGCATGGCTGATTAGTCACTGCAGAGCCTCTGCAGCCTGCCAGGGCTCCTTGGGATAATGGAAAACCAGGAATCCCAAGCAGCCTTCTAATCCATGTGCTGACTGACATGGTCGGCACATCAGAAGAAAAACAAAAAAGAGGGGGGATGGGTAAAGACAGAAGCTATGTGTTGGATCAAGAAGTTAAAATGGTGAGAGCATTTGGCTGAGCAGTGTTTCTTCTTTGGATAATTGCCCACACTGCCCACACTGCAGTGTTTACACCTGTGTGATAGATGGGGCCAAACATGCTTCCTCGACTATGGATGGTGGCAGGGAGAGAGTAATTCAATTAAGTTGTGAATAAAGCAGAATTGATTGCAAATAGAGCTATTCTTTTATGCTGCCTAAAAAGGCTCTAGCTGTGAACAAGGTACACTTAATCATTACGAAAAGAAGCCTGAAAGTTAATAAAACATGCCTCTAATACTTACAGAGGGATGCCAGCTTTGGATTAAATCTGTAGCTATTTTAGTTTTGAAGACCCAACTGTCATTTTTAAGGCATATGCATTTTGGATTTTAACATGTTTGAATGCTGCAGCTGAGACCCAGGCCAAGCCGACCCTAAAATTGGCAGTAAAATGTTACCTCTGTGCAAGCGCGCAGAATGAAGGAATCAGGAATGTATGAGCAATAAGCATGTGCCCCCACTCCCCGGCAGCCTTCTAATGTGGAAACCTGGAGCTTTCTGGAAATAAATACCTTCTGAGCAAAGCAAAGGATTCCTCTAAAAGCTTTTCTACTGTAAAYGCTAGGGAAGATAAACTGCAGGAAGGAAAGTGCCAGAAGCAGTGCAACACTGAAGCAGCACAAGTRAGGAAGAAGTGCCTGGCCGGCCCCTGCTCAGTGCCCTGCAGTGCTGGTCTTGGCTCTGATTTTCTGAAGCCTGAAAAACCTCCACAGCTGGGTAAAACCAKAGTGTCTCAGTAGGCAGGTAATGGAGAGCTGTCCCCACACGCTGGCTGCTCCAAGTTTGCAGAAACCACAGCAATTCAAGCTGGAGGACCATAACAAATGTCCTTGCCATTTTCAGATGTTACCAGCTAATGGAAATAAGTAGTGCTGAAAACAGATCTAACCCCTATTGCCAGGGAGAAGACTAAGAGGAAACTCTGGAAGAACCTTTTCTAAACACTTCACTATTTTCTCTGTAACTTAAAGGAACCTTCTCCAGTTGTGAGTGGGAGTTCTAATACTTCATTGTCCCCCTGAGGTTTTGTTGAGATTAGTCAGTGGACATAGTGGGGAAATGAAGCCCATTGTTGATGCAATACTGATACTTGCATTAGATGTCAGATTGGTACTTAATGTACAACATCAGTACTCTACCTGAGAGGATGTTCCTGGAAGTCTGTGCCAGCTCCAATTTCTCTCCTGGACAAGTGAAGGAGAAATTTCAAGTCCAGCAAATACTTAACTCAGGTACCTTCCTTTAATCATAGACATTATCTCGCTCACTTCACTGAAAGTATTTCAAGTCTGAATTGAGGGAAGTGCAGAGATRCTTTCAAGTATAACACTGTGTACTTTCTGTGTGGGAAAAAATGCCAGTTGTACATAAACAATTTTATGTATAGCAATTTCAAGTGCTGGCAAAACTCAAACCTGCTGCTGTGTGCATGGTTCTGTCTGGACTGAATGGGAAGGAGTCTGAAGCCGAAAGTTGCCCTGAGCCTTCTGTCCTCACCATGGCCTGTGGGCTGGAGTTTCATTTACCAGGTGACATTTTTGTGGCCAAGGTCTCCTCTAAATGCTGCCTGGCAGTATGAAAAAAAATGAAATTATCTCTGCTGCAAGCTTGACTCTGAAATACTGTTTGGTACATGTCCACAAGCGATGCTTCAAATGACAAAGCTATGCTTGCGGCCTGTCAGAAATGTTTGTGTGTTTGGGGCTGGCTACATGTGTTGCACAAAAAGTGTTTCCAAATTTGTGTTTAAACATACTGGCCACCTTCTGTCTTCCAGCGAAGGCAGGGTGCTCCTGCTGCTTGGCGTGCTACTCATGAACTTGTAAGAGTAAAAGTAGCACCTTGTGTTTGCAGATTTSAGATGGATGCTTGATCTCAGAGTGGTCTCTTAGGTGTTTAAACTGGAAATTGGTCCCTTATCACTGTACTCAAAGATCTCATTSAGTCACCTTAAAGCATTTTGGTTGAAATTGTTAGGAAATTTGTTCAATAGAATCTCTGGTATGGTTCATTCACTGCAGCTGCTCTTGATGGATATTGCTTTACTCAGGATCTGTTCCTTCTGTATTTGTGAATCCTCCCTGAAGCGAGTGGTTATTTTGTGCCCATATATCAAGGTTAGGAAAGGGTTTTCTGTGTACATATGATGTAGATAAATTGCTTGATGACCATGAGCTGTGCTATTACAGAGTTCAGCAATAAATCACACTTTAAGTTTTAAAAGGCACAAAAATGGGAGCAAGATGCTAAGTGGTATCCAGGTGGAAAATGGTCAATGAAATCTTTTTTTTTCCCTTTGTAAATCTATCCTAATACCAGGAAGTTAGATATGAAAGAGAAGGTGCCTGGTATAGGATGTCACTGGGATATGGAAGACTCACTTGCAGTGGCCTTGCTCTCTGCTTCCTTTTGTGTTCTGGTTTCGCCATCAATGTTTTGTGGATGATGTTTCATTCTGGGGTATTAAMAGGATTTTTACATTTTTAGCTAGCCAATGATGGGGAACTTCTGACTGGTGTATTCTAGCCCTACGGGGTATTCTATTTTTGGTATTTATTAACATTTTCTGGCTTACAATAGACAGTAAAAGCAATGAAGCTCAGACCACTCGATATGTAAAAAAGGAGTGTTTAAAAATGGCAATTTTTTTTTTTTTTTTTTTTTTTTTT